AGTGGAATGGTGAAAAAGACCGCGCAAGGGAGAGATACAGGGGTAGCAACTTTACGAGGTGTGAACGGTGGATTAGTCAGCAGCGGGAAGGGAAAAAGGGAAGTTCTAGCAGGACACTCCAAGAGACTTGGAGTGCCCTCGGAGAATGAAGCTTTTGACCAAGTGTTTAAGAAGGAGGTGGACGCATGGGTCAAGAAAGAAGGAGACACATCGAAGGCAGACGTTGGGAACGTAGAACTAGAAAAGGAGTTCACTGAGGACGAGGTTGAGGCGTGTGTGAACAAGCTGAAGTGCCACAAAGCAGCAGGAGCGGATGGGATAGTCAACGAGTTCATGAAGTTTGGGGGGAAGGGGATGATCCAGCTGATGGTACTGCAATACAATTCGGTGTGGAAAAACGAGTATACGCATCTTAGATGGAGGGAAGGAGTAGTTGTGAAGTTGTTTAAGAAAGGAGACACGACCGACCCAGGAAACTACAGAGGGATCACACTGTTGAACACAGAAGGAAAAGTGTTCTGTAAGCTGCTGAACGATAGGATAGTGGGAGTATTGGAGAAGGAACATAGCATTAGTGAGGGCCAGGCAGGTTTCCGCAAGAAGAGGGGGTGCGTAGACCACGTGTTCACGGTAGGGAGAATCATCCAAGGTAGAAAGAGGGCGGGAAAGCCGACGTACTGCTTCTTCCTGGACGTGAAAAAGGCATACGACACCGTATGGAGAAATGGGTTGTGGAAACAACTGTCCAAATTTGGGATCAATGAGAAAATGTGGAGAGTGCTGAAGAAGATGACAAGAGTGTACGAAAAGCCGGTCATGCTAGACGGAGAACTGTCAAAATTCTTCGACATTGAGCAGGGGGTCCCACAAGGTTGCACGCTGTCCCGAACATTGTCCCAGGTGTTCATCAACGATTTGTTGGAAGTCGTAGAGGAAGTCCGGAAGGGCGTTAAAAGTAGGGGACACGGAAACGTCGGTTTCAGGAATGCTGTTTGCGGATGATTTTGTCGGTATGTCGGACACCCCTGAGGGACTGCAACTGCAAATTGACGCGGCGAAGAAGTTTACTGATAAGTGGAGATTGTCTGCCAACGTTCAGAAAAGTGCCGCCATGCTATGCAACGAGAACAAGGAGGAACCATTAGAACATAGATGGAAGTGGGGGATCGAGGAGATTGCAGTAGTGGACCAGTACACATACCTTGGAGTAGAGATCGCAAAAGACTGCTCGTGGAATGCACACATGTCCAAGGTAGCGGAAAAGGGCAAA